ATCAACTCAGCGTGTTACGTCAGCATACGTCACCCTGACCGGACGCGGACACTGTGTGTCAGGTCACCTCTTCGCCTAGCGTCCGATCACTTGACCGAGACCACGCTTTCTTAGGAACACATGACCGGACTCGCCAGCTAGTGTTCGATCGCTGCGCTGTGTAGAGTTCGGTCACTTTCAGTGACCTATTTCGCCTCCTTTTATTCGCCAAGTTGATCCGTTTCAACTCCAACTTCTTCTCCTTTGCAAATGTGCCAACACCACCAAGTGTACACCACCATGTGTATGTGTGTTAGCTTTTCACAAACATTTTAAGGAATTAGCTAGTCAACTTGCCACGCTACTCAATCCTAGCAACGATGCAAAGTTAGATCACTCGAGTGGCATTAGATGACCGATATGCAAACAAGTTTTCCCCTCTTGATAGTACGGCCATCTATCCTAAACCCGGTCATCAACTTCTCTACACACCTATGACCGATGAAATGAAATGCCCTAGGTTATACCTTTGCCTTGCGCATTCCATTCCATCTCCTCCAATGTCGATGCAACACATGCATCAACACGATCAACAATGATATAATCCACTTCATATCATCACGTGACCGTATTGGTTCATCGATCTTGACTTCACTTGCTTTTCACCGTTGCCTTCGTCCATCGGCGTCAAGTCTTGCTCAAGCTTCACCGCCACGCGGTCCATCGCTCCAAAGCCTCCAACTTGCCCTTCACGCTTGCAACCGGTCCATCAAGCCAAGTTTTGTCTTGATCTTCTCCACCTTAGTCACATGACTCAATGTCATGTCTCATATGCAATGAGCTCCTTCATCATCACATGTGTGAGCTTTGCAACATTTCTGAGCCATTTCCACCTCCATGGCATATGTTGCTCACACACTTGTATCTGTGGACTAATCACATGTGTATCTCACATAAACACAATTAGTCCACCTAGGGTTGTCACTCAATTACCAAAATCAAACAAGGACCTTTCAACGTTCCTTCGTGGGAGGCTTTTCCTACCATGATGTGTGGGACAACATATGTCATGGGTGAATCCCACGACCTTGTTGATGTGAGGAGGGTGTTTTTACCAATGCTTGGGGTAGGTGGAATAGTGCACTGCAATAGTGCTATAGCATCCATGTACTATTGCCTTTGAGCCTTTGATTTCGGCTCCTTTCAATTTGTTCCAACGCCTTGTTGAACACTTGCAAGCTGTGGTCATCTCCTTCTCCACTATCTCCATGCCTTGCTCAACCTTGCATTGTAGACTTACCTAACTTATCAAACTTTAGTAAAGCATTAGTCCACTAGTTGCCATTTAGTTAACAAAACCAAACCGTGGCTTTCACCTATCCGCCATAGCCAAAAACACGTCGATTGTAGCTAGGGATTTGTCTCTTTTCGCTGTTGCGCCACCATCGTAGCCTCTCCACCTCGAACACCTGAGTACGCCAAGGATTGGGAGAGCAGGCTTCTAGAACTGCTCATCCTTGCGATCCTGCATCGGAAGAGGGTGACTAAGATTTTTGGGAAGCACCTCCTCGTGCGACTACTCGCTATCTATATGATGGCTTTTCTCTTCCATCCAAGTCAGGTGGTGTTGCTTATCATCATCTCCGCCGTTGGCTGCTTCGATCCGCCTTTGCCTACGTGCTCAACAACATCGTCACTCCACCACCTTTTTTTTGCGGTGGGTCACTCCTCCACCACCTGCCATTGTGTCTTCATTTGCAAATGAAGAGTACGTGTGTCATGATCCAATCTACTACTTAATCATATATGTTGCTTGCAATTTAATGTTGTTAACGATATTGTTTAAATCTACTAGTATGTTAGGAAATTACATGCTATTATGTGCCTTCGTCATGATTTAAGTTAACAAATTAATCATGAAATTGTCTAATTTTGCAACGCATCATTAATTTACCATGAAAAGAATAACGCCACTGAATTCAAAAATAGATAAAAGAAATTCGAGGGTTTTCATTCCAAAACCAAAACAAAGAATTCCAAAGGGAATACGGCTAGACAAGTTAGACTCAAATTTGTCAACATTTAAGGATATACGAGCAGCAAGGGCCATGAATAATAGACACACGGAATAGCATCGTTGCAACGTCACGTGCATCGTGAGGCTATATTTACTCTAGCGTCGGAGAGGGTAGGTTTTCATTCAGTTACTTCATCCTGCAAGGGCATTTTATAGTCAATTCGTGAGCTGCAATGTTTGAGTCTACTTTATTCATGGGTCATATTCACGCACATCGACCCACTGTGATATCGTGCGTACAAGTTTTGTGTGTATGTACTGGAGCGTACGTGTACTGCCTTCATCGCCGTCGCCGAAGACGAAACATCGAAAATTAAAGCTTGTTGCTGTTCACGTGTTTGCATCGGCTTTTATAACCAACTACTGTGCGCGATTAGTGCCTGGACCTCTGGAGGACAAACATGGGGCTACTCTACTTTCTCGGCAGCGGCCAAGAAAGCCATCCGCATCCGGGCAACGAGGCACCCACGCACCGCGACACACGCGGTGTAGCGTCTTGAATTGGCACCGCGCCGGCCGGCCGGCCGGCCGGGACAGAGACGACGAACGCGAACAGTTAGCGAGACAAAAAAAAGAGACAAGGCGACGGCAGGTGGCTGCACCGCCAGGCAGGCAGGCAGGCAGGCGAGCACAGGCATACGGCCACGGGATACGGCCGGTGCCCGGTGCACCTGCAGGCAGCCAGGGAGGGTCCTCTTCAGCTCGCGGTTGCAGGCCGGACGCGGGCGGGGGAGGGCGAGTTTAATGCGAGGCGCCGAGGCCGGCCGCGGGAATCTCGTCCTGCCACGCACCGGCCGCGCGCTCAGGGCTGGGGGCCCCGGCGCGGCGTAAATGCATGCGGCGTGGCCGCCCCCAGCCAGCCGCGCCACCGTCCCATGCCGTCGCACGCGCGCCGGTCGTCTGTCCCTGCCGCGGGGCGAGCGAGGCTGCTGGCTGTGATTGGCCGGCCGGCGTCGTTGCTGCTGCGGCTTGCGTGATCGAAGACAAGGCCCAACTGCCCAAGGCAAGCTCACGACAGTGGAGTGATGTGAGAGAAGGCTAATAACCCAGCCGCCGGCTGCTAGCTAAGGTTTCTTCGTAGTCTTCTCTTAATCTAACCATATAAAGTTTTTTTTATGTCTAAACCGGTTGTAAGGCCAGTCTCAATGGAGTTTTAAATATGGTTTCATTCTCACTAAATGACATGACACATCAGCGAACCTGCTTATATGACGAGATATTTATTAGGAAAAAAAAGAGTTTTATCAAGATGAAACTTGGCATCACCGTAATCTAGGCGATGAAACCTGCATCAGGGTGACGAGTTTCAATCTACGGTGCTCGCGCGGATCCCTTGCGTCGCGTACCTATCTGATTTCCGGCGCGGCGGTTCCTGGTCGCGTAGGTATCTGATTTGCATCTGGACATGGGAGTAGTACTTTACGGGACGGCTCGGCTTGCATGCAGGAAATTTTCCCCCCAGTGTCACGTACGTGAATGAACCTGATGCATGTATGAGCATGATACTTCTAGCTTGCGTGCCGTGTGAATGATGCAGGTAGTGTGAAGGCTTCCTTCACGTACGTGTGAAAGAGTTCTAGAAAAAGATAGTGATATTCGACATCGCTCGGCGCATTATCGGCTGAAGAAAGATTTGGTGCTACATATTTGGAACAAGTTCGGAATATATCTTAAATTATATCTAATCATTTTAATATATGCATATACACTCATAAATATTGGATTAATTAATATTTTTTATTTTACATGATTATTTGTCAGCATGCGACATATCATAGTTATCAAAGTAACTATGTTTAGTTTAGATATATTTTCAAATTGCTACATAGTTTATATGGCACATAGGATCATAAAATCATGCATACATTAACTGTTGCAGTTTGTCTTAAAAATAGTGAAATGAAATCCCCCACTAAGATAGTCAGTTTTAATTCTCAATCCAAGCCTGCAGAGCTTCTTAGTCATTAAATATGCTGTTGTGGCACCGTATTAACGAAGTTCATGGGAGCAGAGAGAGTTTTATGGGGATGAAATTCTTTTGTACTGTTTTCAAAATATGAATGTGTTGAAAACTGGAACATGAAACCCTCATTGAGACTGATCTAAACTTACAGCCCGTTTCTTCTTTCTCTCCTCTTCTCTCTCCTCCACCTCAGCATTTAGCTAGCTTACGGTCTGCTATGATGTGACTGTGATACTGTTCTATAGTGGACCGCTCGGATTGGCCGAACCTCCTAAACGATTTTTTCTTTTTTTTTTTTTGAGCAAAACAAGCCTGCTGAACCGAGTTGAAACCGCAAAAATAAAATTTACGAGAGCACGGCCCAGTTCGTTTCCCTACGTTAGTGTTGTTTGGGGCCTGCCCGAACTTGCATGGTTAGATGAGTCCTGGGCCTAGGTACCATTGGACCCATAAAAAAATTCAGGCCCACGTTGAGTTTGTTGTGCTGTGTGGGATTTTTTATTTTCTTTTTCTGTATTTTTATTTATTTAGAAATTCCAAAAACAAATCGCGCCAGAGGTATTTGGGCAGACAATTCCACTTTGGCGGTCGTTCATCCGATTCGTCTGGGCGAACGATCCGACCGTGTGCGTTCTCCCGTGCCTGTTCCCCTTTCCTTTTCCGTCACGTACACAAACCGACGCGAGGACGTCCAAAATTTTCGTGGCCGCCGTTTTTGAACAGTACCGCTTCATCTTCTTCCCCATCGCTCTCCTCTTCGGGACGACCTCGTCGGGATTCGATTCAAGGGGATCCCTGCCGGTGGGTGTTCTCTGGGATTCGTCGCGAGGTATTGTTTCCTCTGTTTCACCGTGATTTGCATTATTGGGTGATCCGATTCGAGGTCGTATCGAGTAGTGTTCTAGGTTTTCTCTCTCTCAATCCCGATGGCGTCGCGTACGCCGGGCCCTGCTGACCGCCATCTCCCTCATCTTCCCTGCCATGGCGGGCGTGTCTTCCTTCTGGGGTTTGGGTTCTGGGTCTTCGCCGCCCTTCTTCCTCTTCTTCACAGGCGTTGCGGGTTCACCGGCCCCGGCCCCGGCTCCCGCGCCGGCGCCGCGCGTCGTCCGGGCCGCTGCTGACTGCCACCGCCCCCCTCTCGCTGCTCCTCCTCTCTTTCCAGCTCCCTCCCCTGATCTACGCGGCCGCCACGGGTTGACCGGCCCCGGCCCTGGCCTCGGCCCCGACCTAGCCGTACGGGAGAGCGACGCCGCAACGGTACGCCGAGAGAGTCGTGACTCCCCCAGCGGCGGCCTGTGACCACCTGTTCCCCCAGTCGTCTCGTCTCGGCGGACCGCATTTGCGCCTGTCCCGTCCGTCCCCTCTCCCTCGCCGAGGCCCGTGGGCTGAGCTGCCTCGGGAGGGTCGTCGTCCACCCGGCCGCCGGCTGGCGGTTACGAAGCGGGGAATTTCGGCGCGGGATGCTGCGATCCCTGCAGTGATGTGCGGATCGGAAGGAGTATGGGTGTGACCCAATCGGGAAGTAGTGGAGACTGCTGGAGGACTAGGGCCGGTAGTGGGAGCTGCGGCCTCGACGATGTACGTCGCGCGGGAGTCTACCAAGGTCTCGATTCGCTGCGCTCAACCCCGTATGGTTGCTGGGTATCACTCGTGAAGTTTTCTGACTGGTGTCTGCGTCTGGATAGCTGTGGAGGAGGGTGTGCGAGGAGACGACAGCGGAGCTGCAGCTTCTGTTTGAGAAGTGGCAATTGCTCCTTGCAGGGTTGGTATTTCAGGTGAGCTTCCCGATCGATCTCATTTGATTGTGTCTCCTATGTGCATAACCATGAGATATTAGTTAGCGCTTCTGTTTACTGGGTGTCTTGACACTTTTTGACTTGCAGATGGCTCAGACCCTTATTCTTTTTAAAATTTTCAGTTGGCTCTGTTAAACTTAGTGCTTAATTTGGGGGGCTGTCACCAATCGTATGATGATTACACTCCAGCGTGTTCAGTTTTTTTTTTAAGGCCCCGCTTCAGTTTATGTTAAGCTTAGTAACTGAATAAACATTTGTGCGAGATCACTAGGTGCTTCTTGATTTGTAGGCATGTTGGTTTGTTGTTGATAAGGGTGTGGGTATATAACCTGTGAAATCGGTTCCGTGATGTGCCTTCTCTATATGCATTGAGCTACTGATATATGTTGCATGATGTGCGCAATAACTGAGAATTCACATGGGTGGTAGAAGCATGGGGCTAGCTCTTTATCCAAATCTTTAGGTGAAAAACAATTTATCGTGATACATTTTGTCTTGCGAATTGTTACCTTTGTCTTATCCCATAGTTCAATGCCCGGATACGTTATTGACCCCTGGAAATACGTTGTAAATTGCCTTTTACATTTCTCTATATGTTTCGCTATTTATGGCTTCAAAATACATGTTTAGAAATGTAATGCACCGAACTACCTGTGTACCTAGTTAGCAGGGTACCCTGGTCTTCTTGGAACTATTTTTGTTCTGCATATAAACTGGGTAAACTGGGTCCTTTGCCATTTTTCTTTTAGGTGACTCTTTTGCTGTGTTTTTTTAACAAATAACAGCACCTGTCATGTAAGCTTTATAGGAAATATAAACTGGGTAAACTGGGTCCTTTGCCATTTTTCTTTTAGGTGACTCTTTTGCTGTGTTTTTTTAACAAATAACAGCACCTGTCATGTAAGCTTTATAGGAAAGGAAATAGCAGTCCTTGACATCAAGATTGTATATTGAGACTTCCTATGTCTTGACACTTAAATTAACTGAGCCATACTATTTTGGTATCCTCCATTCTCTTTTTGGGTTAGCCCTGGCATGTCACTAGCATGATCTATGTGTGATGTATCATGGCAATCTGCCTTGGCTGCTGTATTTCCTCTAATCAAAATTTTGAGAATTCAGTGTGGGTGGTTCTAGAGATTCTAAACCTCTGTATTCCTTTAATGTAATTGAGGCCTTTTGTGCTTGCCCGATCTGTGTGTTGCTGATCCAAGCAAATTTGCATCCCTCTTATATCAAATTTTTTATTTCAATGGAAGACCTTCTGGTGCTTCTATTGTATAATTGTTTTGCACTTTGCTTCATTTGATGAGCCAAGAGCTCTGTAGACCTCGGTAGTGACTGAGTTTTTCTATGTGCACAGTTGGTAGAACTGGAAACTAGTGACTTCTTTAGTTCAATTGATAAGCAGCAAAGGAACACACCAATTGTCTGCTAATATAAAGTCTTTCAGGGCTCTCAATTTTGAGGCTGCAGAAACTCCCTAATATCTGAAGCTCGTAATTCTGCATTGTCTTCTCAAAATTTACTTAACATATTTTTATCAGTTCAATAATGAATGATTTTAGAGATTTATGCAATCATTTTGGCTATAACTAGTACATCCATGGATTGGCTGCTCGAGGAGTACACTTTTGCATCGGCCCGGACCACTGCTCCAGGACTTGGGATTTATGGCCCTTTTGAACAACAACAACAACAACAACAACAACAACATAGCCTTTCAGTCCCAAGCAAGTTGGGGTAGGCTAGATTTATGGCCCTTTTCATGTTAATAAAATAATACACAACATTGATTTGTTTTGTGCCACTGGCGACACACCTCCATATGGCAGGAGCTTGGCCAAGAGAAAGGTTATCTTAGTGAGAGCGCATTCACTTTCATCTTCATTTCCTTTCCGTTGGTAGGTGACCTTTTACTTTGCAGTTTATCTGTTTGATGTTGATTAGCTGTACCATGAGTGCGCGCGCGCGTTTAATGTTGAAATTAAACAATATATGCTGCAATCAGTCTTATTGAGGAGTAAAATCAGAAGTGGTGGTCATCTAGATTGATATGTCAAACCTAGTAATTTAACTTAATGTGATTTTATGGCATGAAGACCATGGGCCAATTAATCGTCCAATTAATCACCGTATGAAATTATTGGAACCTCGGGTATGAGTTAGCTTTAGTCAATTTTGAGCTCTCATTTTGAGGGTACTCTCTATGTTTAAAAAGGTTAGATGATAAGCTTCATGTAAATCTCTAATGTCTATACTTACAATATGTAAATCTGTAATATTTTCTGTATATTGTACTTGGTTTATTAAATTATATGCTTATAACTTGTACATTGTAGTTATTACGTTGTAAGTTTCTGTATTAAGTTGTAACTTTCTTGTCAAACTTTTATGTCTAAATTTTTGCACATAACTTATAGTTATTAGTTTCTTGTCTAACTTTTTATATCTAAGTGTCTGCACATGTCTAACTTTCTGCTCATAAATTTTATGTCAAACTTTCTCCTCATAACTTTTACGTCTAAATTTGTGGACATAACTTGTAGCTATTAACTTTTATGTCTAATTCTTTTGCACATAAGTTGTTTGGTTTATTATATTTTGGACATAACTTGTAGTTATTAACTTGTGTGTTGAACTTGGTTTATAAATTATATGCTTAAGTTTTGTTTGCAACTTGTATGTCTAACTTTTTGTTCTCAAATCAGTATTTAATTAGCCATTTTGATAAGGCTTTTCAATATGTATTTGTTAAATCTTAAATGCATATTTGTCAGTTTGAACTTCAAAATGCTGAACTTGTTTGATTTGTAGTTATGTACATACAAGTTGTATTGTGTAACTTGGTAACACTATTGTTGCCTTTGGTAGATTTTCTGGTTTTAGGATCCTTGTTAGATTACATGTGTATTAGTTGATGACCTTCAGGTAGTTATTAGGTTGATGAGTTACCTTGGCATAGAATGTGTGGTGTTTTTTTGTTGCTGGATATCAGTGTAGCTTTTATGTCATGTTGAATGCTACTCTATCAGTGTATTATGATGGAAATACTTTCCTGTCAGGTTGACTGCAACTCTATCAGTGTTCCATGATGCAAGTGCTTAGATGTCAGGTTGAACACTCTATCAGTGTTAATTCATGCTAATTGATTGAGTGTTGTATTTTGGTGATGTAAACCTTCAACAATTGTCTAATCGGAATGTGAAGTTGTGGTCTTAGGTTGCTTGTATTTGATCTTTTGCCAGAGTGTGAGTCTGTGTATGTAGAAACTAGTTGGAAATAAACAGAGAATTTTCCCTGCCCAGCTGCATCTGGTGTGGTGTGGTGTGGTGGCGTGTAGTGTCGTGTTGTGTTCTTGTTTGATCAGTATCAGACTATCAGTGACAGTGCTAGAGAGGCTTATTCAGTTTGATCAGTATCAAACTAGCAACATAGAGCTTGTATTTGTTATTGTATTTGCAGTGATTTTTGTGTTTGATGGAATCCTTATCTTTGCTCCTTGTTAAACTTGTCATCAGGGTATAAACCTTTCAAATTCCGTATCAACAAGGTATAACACGTATGAATTTTCTACTTAACTTATTACATTCATTGCTATTGAAATAGTTTCTTCCTTTTTTATGTGATTTTTTAATCATTTGTGCTTGCTAATTTTCTCTATACATTTGTTCTATATAGTTATTTTTTGTGCTATGTTAAATAATAGAGTTATTTATTTGTTTTTTTTTGTTTCATGAGTATGTTATTTAATTTAGTTGATTAACTTATGCTATATATAGAGTTAAGTTTCTAACTTGTGTTTTCATGTGTATGCTACATAACTTTTTTGATTAATTTTAGTGTAGAGAGTTATGTACCTAATTTATGTTTTCATGTGTATGGTACCTAACTTATGTGATTAGCTTAATGTAGAGAGTTATGTATCTTATACTTATGTTTTTGTGTCTATGTTATATAGTCATCTTACTTTCCCTGCTAACTAACGTTTTTCCTTGCTATGAACTTTGTTTTTTATTTGTTATTTTAAATACTAAATATTTTGCAGATGTTCCAATTGAAAACACAGATATGCTTAATGTCATAGCTGCAGAGATGCTGATACTATTATAGTTGCAAAAGTTATGAATGTTATTATTTATCTGGTCTTTGCAAGTTTGCATCATATTATGGAATTTGTTGTGTATTATAGGTTATAAAAGTTACTTTTATTTTGCTCTCCCACCCTTTTTTAACCCTATTCCCATGTTCCCAAATGATTTAGTTTCTGAAAAGATAAAAATACTGATGAAACCTAAAGATAATGTTATTCTCACAGCTGTTTTAAAAATGTAAATTTTGTGCAAAAAGAAAAAAAAATAATGTTATATAACTTAGAACTGTTAAGTTAATCTTCGAAGTTATGCTTCGTAACTCAGTTTTCTAAGTTATGCATGCGGTTCTCAAAAAAAAAGAAAAATGCAAAAGTGAAATTGCCGTCGCCCCGCACGTGAAAAGAGAAAAAAAAAATGCGCGCGCAACGTCTGCTCGAAATCTGAAAGAGAGAGAGAGGCGCACGCACACTATCTATAAAAAGGAAGCCGGTGCTAATTACTTTTTTTCTAAAAATAATGAACTACTGTTGGAGAATTGTTCGTTTCATTCGGCTGCAATGAACGTTCGCCCACTAGTGGCGTTGATTTGGGCATTTGCAGAACTAGCCTCTCGCCGCCAGTTCGAAACGCTGTAAGATGGTTGGCCGTATCCTACCCACGCCTGCTAGTTCAATTAGCGGTAGCCGGTAAAGGCTACGGCCTGATCGCGAAAAAAGCGGTAGCCGGTAAACCCGTTACTGCAATATGGAATAATGAAATGACACTCTGTTCGATTGCCTTTTGACTTGGCATTTTCTTAAGACCGTCAATTGTGTCGACGATTTTAGTTTACCGCCAGCTGAGTCGACGATTTTTTAGTATTTATTTTGGTTCGCTAGATGAGTTTTTTTATAACAAAAACTTTAATTCCTTTTATTTTCTATGCTTTATACATTCGATGAAATTTAGAGCCTATTATCTAAGAAGCTGTGACCTATTAGCAATAATAGATCCTATGATATGGAGTATATAGCAGCATCATGAGCGAGCTAGCGACAAAAT